TCGATTATTTAGAAAAGTATTAAGGATTTTTCACTTTTGAACCCCCAAAGTTCCAACTAGATTCACTTTCTGATCGAACGAGGTATTGAAGTCAAAAATAGAAGCACTTTTACTGCCCCAAAACGTGATGACAGACACAAAAAAAAACACACACATCATGGTAAAATCAATACATTCATCGCTCCGCTCAGAATCTAATATGAACGTTATCAGTATTATACGAGTATTATTATGGAGTGGTCTGTGGTGATATTTACCTGTTTTTCTCAAACGAGAGTCACCGTTTTTAATCCAATAAATTGTTAATCAGTTGAGTTTTGAGAATGTTAATGTATTTAATATCACGATATGTCATCATCAGTACATTGCCTTTTCAACCGGTTAGGTTACTTTCATTATGATTGCAATGGAATGTATGTGTTCAAAAAAAAAAATAAAAACGTAATGTCGTTATGCCTTCAGGTGAGACAATTCGCAGTGGAATTGATAGTRAACTGCAGAACGTCTGACGAGGTGAAGATCATGCTGCGAAATCGTGACGGTTGCAGATTCAGAGGGAAGTTTCCTTACCCGAGACTGATCACAGCGATGGACTACAAGCAAAAGGAGTTCGTAGCACACACCAACATCCAACAGGTGTTGGAGACTGCGTGGCTGGGCGATTGGATCGAGTGGAAGTCGTACTCGGCGACGTGGAAATTCTTGTACCTGCTGAGGCGATTCATCATGCTGCCGGCGACGGTGGCACTGGGGATGTTGGCGCCCAACTCAAAACTGAATCAGTTCAACCGGTTGCCGATCAACCGGATGTTCAACAGCCTGGTCACGTACCTGGTTTTCCTGTGGCTACTGTTCAGGCAGTCGAACGCCGACAAGTTCGAGACGCGTAGGGGAGCGCCCGAACTGGGCACGTGGTTGCCTATCRTCGTGTTCGTCGTTGGCCACGTGTTGGAGAAGTTGAAGCTGCGGCTGCAGCAGGGCCCGGAACGGTTCTTCAAGAACCTGTGGAACGTGTTCGACACGGTCAAGCTGACGCTGTTCTCGTTAGCGTTCCTGTCCTGGATGGCGGCCACCTTGGATGTCATTAGCCAAGGGTCCGAAGACCTGGACCGCAAGTACTGGCCCTGGATGCACCCACAACTGGTGGCCGAGAGCCTGTTCACCGTAGCCACGGTCATGGCGTACCTACGGCTGCTGTTCCTGTGCCAGCTCAACTACTACATCGGCCCGATGCAAGTGTCCCTAGGCAAGGTGCTGCACGACTTCGGCAAGTTCGCCACGTTCCTGGTGATCATCATGGCGGCGTTCACGTGCGGCCTGGGCACGTATTACTCGTACTACGCGGGGATGTTGCACAAGGACCCGGAGACGGGCGAGACCTCCAGGCAGGAGGACTCGTTCATCACGGTCGCCGACACGTTCAAGACGCTGTTCTGGGGCATATTCTGCATGACGTCGCTGGACGCGCCCAACGTGGTGGTCGGCAACACGTTGACGGGCGCCGGCCACATCGACGCGGCCGTGCAATCGCACCAGTTCACGCAGCTGGTCGGCTACGGGCTGTTCGCCGTGTTCGAGGTGCTCATGGTCATCGTCATGATGAACATGCTCATCGCCGCCATGTCGGACACATTTCAGGGCGTCACCGACAACGCCGAGTACGAGTGGCTGTTCGGCCGGACCCAAGTGTACGTCAGCTACATGCTGCTCAACGACATGCCGCCGCCGTTCAACCTGTTGCCCACCACCGGCCTGCTGTTCTGCGCCAAGCGGATCGTGTCCAAGTCGTCGMGGCACTACAACAGCTTGCCGGGCGACGACGGCAGAGGCGACTTGGACAGCCGCTCGACGGCCGCCGCGATCGAGTTCCGCGAGCTCATGACCGAAATCATCAAACGGTATTTCACGATGCACAGGCCACTCGCCGAACGCTGATCGTCCACACGCGGCGATGGTCTATGTTATTGCCATTATTATTATTATTATTGTTGTTGTTGGTCACTCGGCCACGGCGGTATTCGCACCCCCCCTTGCATACCACCTGGTCGCACCCTTTGGCCACCCCAGAA